TACTGTATATTATTGTTTTGTTTTGGGACCTTGCTTACTTCTGCAGCTCAAAAGTCATTTTTAGTAATAAAAGAACATGACAAAGGACCTCCCCGCTGCTCTGGTATTTCAGTATACGTCCCCCACATGTTTGTTGCCAATTTTGCATAATTGTCCTTGAAAAACACAGCTTACACAAGAATAATCAAACTATTAGGTGGTAAACAGCAGCATGGCAACTCCACTGAGGTGAAGGAGGATACCACTGGGAGATGAGCAAGGAGGGGTCAGAATAATGGGGGATGTAGATTCATTCCTACAGACTCCTGGATGATACTTTGGGAGATTCTCAGCTGCTGCCAGCACACACACTAATACACACAAACACCTATACATGAACATACACGTCAAACAGTGCCCCTGATGCATCAAAGAGTGTTACCCTCAGTCAGGAAGGCACCAAAGGGAGGAGTATTCATCTTCTGTGGTGCTCTGTATGATGTAATTTCTGCTTTGGCCCCTTTAAGCTCCATTGAGCTGACAACCACCAAGAGGCCCAGGTATACAGTAGCTTTTCCAGGAGGGAAACAGACAGACAGTTAATATTTTATATCTGCGGAGACTTTCAGCTCACGAAGAGCTGGAGACCACATGAAAAACTCTTTGATGGTTAAACCAAGGAGTGGGAAATCAGCTGGATGAAACCCGCAGGATAAAAGGGACTCAAAGCACTTTATCTCTTCGTTCTCTTGGAAGTCATTCATCTGAGAGAATCAGAGATATTTTTGGACCACAAAAAAAGCTAAGTGTATATGAGCACCCACTGCCTGTGACTCTGTACAGTCAAGCATCTCTGAGAGTGTGTCCACTTACATATGCACCAACATATCAAGAAAGCCCTGTTTGCATTAAACGTAAGATTATCAAACCAAATAACAAATATATAAGGCTCAACATTGTGCTAGACAGAGGTAGAGGCTTGAGACTTAGTGAGTATTCAGACCGATTGCATTGTAATGCAGGCCCCTGTAGTTTTAAATGCAACAGGTTGTGTTGTTGGGGTGGGGTGAGAGGATTCAGGGTGTCATGTAGGTATGTATGGCATTAACATGTTGTGACAAATCTGATGCCATGAATGACTTCCATTTCCAGCCTGTGAAGATGCTGGACTTTCGTTACATATCAGCTTTAATCTGGTTTCACTGTCTACTGGGTGTAACGGTAAGTCTTTTGTTAAAGTGAAACTCTGTATGTCTGTTAATGTGCTGTTTCTGAAAAGAGAAAGGATGTGGTAGAATTTAAAGCATGTATGCCTGTTAAAATAGGTGTTTCTAAATTAATTGTAGGAATTCATTTTCATCCCTAATTTAAATTATTCATTTTTTTTTTTACCATCTATCAAAACTATTAGGCTAAACCTTCTTGAAAATAAACTATGCGGTGAGAAACATGTATGTTTCCTAAACTTAAAAAAGTTTCATTTACAATATTAATTTACTATTTATTTAATTACTGAATTTCTGAAAAACAAATTAATTAATATGGTTTTTACACTAATTGACATTTAAAGAGAAAACCCTAAACTAACCCATACAGTGGGGAGAAAAAGCTGCTTTTTCTAAGATTGATTATTTAATTTAGAGAGAAGCATTAATCCTTACATCTATAAAATATTTAGAGAGCATCAAACTGAGTCTTTGGGGCTGGTGGTGAGTCTTATTGGAAAACCCTAATAAAAACCCCTTTGATGTAATAACCCTGGTCTCGGAGGACAGTCCTATTCTCACAGGAAACCCTAATAAAATCCTTTAATATTGTCATATAAAGAAAAACCCATTGAAGATGAGAAGCAACACCTAAGTCTGAAATCCTTTGAAGTGTGTAATTATGCTGTCTCTGATCTAGACAGAATCTAGGTGTTTAAAAGTGGGTGGGGCTTATGTCTGATAAATCATATAATAAATCTTGACTTCACACTTCATTTTGACAGATGGGTTTCTCTTATATTCTCTTTGGTATTCTCCCAGCTATGTCCCCATTTAGTTGATGTCATGAATCAAAGCTCGGCGTCTTTGTTGGGCTCAAAGTCAACACTGCTGGTGTACACTGTGTATGTTTGCAGGCTGGAAATGTCAGTGAAGCCATTCATGTCATCAGATTTGTAAATGTAAATTTGTAAATAAATGTTCAGTTCACACCTCAGTTTGACATTCAGGGTCCTCTTATATGCTCTTACCACTGTTTGGTTAATGTACCCCACCTGGATAGCGACCACCCCCCATTATGTGATTGGTCAGTGCAGTGCCCTGATGGATGATGTCACCTTCACTTGCAGAAAATGTTGAACCAGATCTAAGTTTTTGCCACACGGGGCTGCGTCATTTTGCCAGAGAAAGAAATCCCTCAGCCTGCTGCAGATTCCTCTGCAGACTGTCGCTGTCTATTCTAGATCTCGTCGACTCCAGTCAAAAACAGCTGAACACCCTACTCCTGTCTTTACAGACTGTCAGGGCCCTCACCTCATTCTCACTCAGCATTCTTTGTTTGGTTTTACTGCAGTTCTGCTGAGAGCGATGTCTCAAGGGCAACTTCTTATTTGAAAAGTTTGACAGATTTCTTTTGATTATCATTCCAGGCTTTCACATACCATTTCTCCTCATTACATAAGGTATGATACAGAGGTCAGATGTTACTGCTCTCTACATGACAGACAATTATAGTCCACTGCTACACTGTTTTCTACAATTGCTCTTCTTTCTTGCTCTACTTTCATGGGCTATTCATGGGCCTTGAGTGGCTTCATTGCTTCTCCAAATAACAATTGATCAGGTTTTTTTTTTTTTGCAAAGGATAGAACATAATAATGCTCCTGCCTCTTATGTTTTATCTCTTCCTGTGTATAATGTAACCTAACAAAGGTGACTTCTTGTATAAGCAGCAATGATTTAGTGACTATGACTTAAGCGAACTGCAGTTCTAGAGTTAGGTTACATTGCTGACCATTACCCTTTTGCTATAATTTCACTGTCTTAGAAGTCATGTTATGCCATATAGTTAGAAAAATCTCTGATTCTGCCTCCAAAAACTAAAACTTAAACCTGTGATTCTAATTATTATATGACAATCCATTTTACAGCAAGTAAGAGAGCTCAAGACCATAACCTTGTAAAACACAGCTCTGGAAATGATCAGCCACATGCAGCAGAAAATCATTTTTTTCTGCACCAAATAAAAAGCCAGGGTAGAAGACAAAACAATTAAAAATCTGAAGAAAAGCCTTTAGAAACTGAAGCAAAAAGATGACGGGAGGAAGAAAATGTCACACTGATTCTCAGAGTGTCATTTCCTCACGGGCCAGTGAAGTGCACAATTAAAGCAGAAATCCAACCTAGGGAGATAACGGAGAGGTAATGTATCAGAGTGTAAACTCCTGTAGAATAAAACTCCGTAATGATTAGCTTTTTACAACTTGTCAATAATAGAAAATAGGGATTGGAAATGGCTTGCAACTTCAATGGGTAGAAAGGTTTAGATGAAAACTTTGACCAAGAAAGTGAGTTATACCAAATGAACTTCCGCAGATAAATATGGTAATTTGTTACTTAAAATCTTACACCATAGAAAAAGAAAGCTTTGGCTCCACCTGCATCCAGGTGGTGTGCATGGTAAACATTTACTTCTTGTTTACTGTGCCTGCACTGTGTTGTGCTTGCTACCAGATAGTTTATGGATTATACTCACTGATTTCTAGGTTTATATGAACATCAGCTATTTATTTGAGTCTCAACATAGGCCTGCACTGCTTAAGCACTTGTGTTACAGAATATCTTACTAATTTCCAAATGTAACCTGTAACTTTAGCTGGTCTAGCCTAGAAGCTAGTAGCTAAGCTAGTAGCTTAGTTGAGAACAATGGCTTCTCCCTCTTCCTCTCCTTTTTCTTGCTCTTATGTTCAATTGCCTCTGCCTCCTTTAGCGATAATCGTATCCATCCCACTTTGGATGGTGTGGCTCTCATATCTAGAAGTAAAGTAATGGCATTGTTTGCCATTTCTAGAACTTACTTTGTAAAGTGTTGTGAGATGACTGCAGTGATTTGGCGCTATACAGAACTGTACAAATAAAATTTAATTGAATTAATTTAACATGTCCATGTTCACTCACTACCTACAGTAGTAACTGAGTGTTACTTTCAAGGCCAAGGCTTTATTAGTTTGTGGGGATAGAGTTATAGGTTTTGTTAAAGAAAAACAGTTCCCAATGAGCACATGCACTGTGTAGTGTTTACCCACTACATAATGTAGTGGGTAAACACTACAGTCCTGGACAATCAGAGTTTACAGTAATGACAGTAGCTCAGCCCTGTTCTTTATTGGATGTTGAATTAGTCATGCAGTGGTTCAAATAAAAAAGGTTTTGCCAGTGTAATTATTATAAACTGCATATGTGCCATTCTAAAACAACTTGAAAGTAGTTAGGCGGCACTATATTTGGTGTATTTAGGACTGGTACCACAGAGGGAGTTGCGTCAAAATGATGCATGTGAAAAAAGTACACTGTTTTATGGGGGGTAGCACGTTAAAACCTGCCCTCCTTCCTCAACTGTCACAATCTGTCCATACTGCATCTACAGTACTTGTCCAATGTCCCACACTCTGACGTGGGACCAATCTGCAGTCTCCACCAGCTGATCCTCTGACCCCTCCTGCTGATCAATACTGCCCATCTGACCACTTCTATTCCTGGCCACTATCTCTGCAGAGTCAGCCCCCTCCCCCTCCCCCCCACCCTTCTTTTCCGCTTGCCTCACTGGGCCTGGCCTGGGGTACCTGCTGCCAAGTCTGCCTCATTTAAGGAGAGACACCCAGTCACGATATAATATACACCAGGCCTGTGACTGTTTGTGTGTTACAGTGTTTGCTGTTCCTGCATGCAGCCATACAGGAACAGCACGCTATAAAAGCACAATTCACACACCACACAGACATTAACAGATGACCACCACTCTGAAGCAGATCAGGGACAGTTATGATTTATTTATAAGGATCCCAGTGTAAAAAACTGAGTGACCCAAAATGCAGTGAGAACAGTATATAAAAAGAGCCAGTCTGACCCATTTCAGTTTAAATATGTGGTGAGTGCATAAAAAGATACAGTTAATCTGACAGCGTCTTCCTCGCCCAGAGTAAAATGGCTGCATTCTTAAAAGCAGATGAAAGTTACAGCACTTTCTCTCTCTCTCTCACTTGAAAACATACACACACACACACACACACACACAAGCAGAAAAAGCAGTTTTAGTGCCTTCTGTGGTTGCTGGTGCTCAGAGTTCTTGAGATCGTTCGCTGCATCATTTGCAACCTGAAACAAGAGAAAAGGAGACAAACAATTTTATTGCAATAAAAATAATATAACACACTGTGTCATACACATTTAAAGCCTTAAAGGTTTTAAGACATAATCATTTAGCATTTGTAGCAAGCTCAACTTGCTAAAAACACTGGAGATATGCAAAGTCCAGCCTGAGTAGTTATCAAGCATCTCAGAGTTACTTCTACAAATTACGCTGAATGAATGAGATCCAGAGTTCCTTTCTGGAGATCGGAGAACCTTACAGCAGGACAACGCTCAGTGCAGCACTCCACCAATCAGGCCTCTCTGGTAGATTGGCCAGATGAAAACCATCCCTCACTAATAGGCACAAGACAGCCCGCTGGGAATTTTCCAAAAGGCACCTGAATGACTCTTCGACCGTGAGAAGCAAAATCCTCTGGTCTGATGAAACAAAGACTGAACTATTTGGCCACAATTCCCAACAGCGTGTGTGAAGAAAACTGCATGCAGACAAAATATAAAGCAATTCTGATGTCTTTCTTCAGAAAGCTCAGGATCTCAGGCTGGTGCAAAGGTTTTCATTTCAACAAGACAATGACCTGAAGCATACCGCCAAGAAAACACAGGAGTAACTTCAGGAAAACTCTGTGGAAGTCCTGAAATGGTCCTGGGTTGGTCTGGACCTGATCCCAATAGAGCGTCTCTGGAAAGACCTGAACATGGCTGTGCACCCGCGCTCCCCATCCAACCTGGTTGACCTTGAACAATTCTGCCAAAATGAACTGAGAAACATTCCAAAACAGAGATGCCAAGCTTGTAGTCGCATTCTCAAGAAGACTTGAGGCTGTCACTGCTGCCAAAGGTGCTTTAACCAAGTACTAAATGAAGGGTCTGAATCCTTATAAATGGGATATTTCAGTCTTTTATTTTTAATACATTTACAAAACATTCCAAAAACCTGTTTTCACTTTGTCATTGTGGAGTTGTCTTTTTAAATTGATGGAAAAAAAATTACTGTCTATTTTAAAATGAGTCTGAAACAAAATGTGAAAGACTTGAAAGGGTCTGAAAACTTTCCGTACTGACTGTAGTTAGCTTTGAGGTTAGTTTACACCACGTAGTTTCCTCAAATAGTACTGAACATATTACACTATCATGCTGCCACTATTTCTGTGTTGTAACAGTAAAAACTGGAGCCTAACAGTGAAGCCTATAAGCAGCCTCCATTGTTATTTTTCTCTCAAAACTACAGAGGCCTCAGCCTGGCTCCCCTAGTTCATGTCTTAGAGCAACAAATGAAGCAATTTGCTCTGAATAGCCACCCAGGACATTTTCAGTGCATTACAGAGGCAATTGGCATCAGCAAGTAAAATGCAGGAGAGTGAAACTGAGTGACAGAGTGGTGGAGAGAAAATAGAATCAGAGACTGTGCAAGAAAGACAGACAAAAAATAGAAAAAAGAGTGAGCCAGAAGGGGAATGAGATGGAGAGCTGTTATCATGTTACAGGTGACCCCCTGTGCTGGTCAAGGTGCTGAATGGGCAATAAAAGGACAGCCTAACAGAGCTATAATGGCAAGAGAGCAGCTGGGCTCAGCGTTAGAGGAAAGAAGATGAGGCTATCCACAGCAGCCGGAGGGGGCTCTCAGTGGCCCTGATGTTAATAGTCTCGCTCCAGGACTTATTAGTTATTAGATATGTGGGCACAACCCTGTATGTCACGGTGATTTATGGAGACATGTTATTAGTTCTGTTGGTGGGATTTTATGTGCATATGTGTTTGATCACTCAAGCGGCCATACGGTTTTCTGCACAATCATCTCTGCAGGTGGATCTATTAAACACACACAACACACCCCTGAGAACACAACAACACAACAGGAGAGAGGAGGCTGTGTTTCTCCTCTTATGTTAGAAGTACTCACTGTGCAGAGGAGAGTATTAAGATATTGTAATTAGTACTGTTTTAGCTTGCCTTGTATTACCATGCAACTTAATAGATAGATTGCGGTCCAAACAATACCAGGATAAAGGATAGTTCTGGTTTATTGCAACTTGGGGCTTATTCTAATAGTTTTGGCCACTGTTCTAGTGAATTTACTGTTTAAAAGGCAAATTTTATCAGCCAGCTTCTTATCATGAGGGACTGGGTTCAACATGAATGTGCAAATTTTTTTGCCAAAGCTGAAGGTTTTGGGTATTTCATACAGTGTCTTCAAAAAGTATTCAGGCACCTTTACTTTGTGCACACTTTACTGTGTTGGAATTTTATTTTTAAATGGAATAATTAAAAAAACTACAACACAATAAAGTGTGCACAAAATGGAGGAGTCTGAATACTTTTTGAAAACACTGTATAATAGTGTTAGTCTGATAATTTTGTTTTCTCTGTGTCTCATTTGTAACTTCTTATCAGACATCTTTTCACTTAGAAGCAGCTATAGACAGCAGCTGTGCTGAACAGGAGCTTCTTTGTTTACAGCTTGTATTTCCAGTCTAGCTCGTCTTTGTTCCCTTTCTGAAAGGTGAATACAGATACCGCCACCTTCTGGTAGGGGGAGTTATTTCTCTCACGTAGGCACTGAATGTATGTGCTATTTGGCCTTTGGCTGTAGTCTGTACGGTGTGTTCAAGTGCCACTTTTTCAACCCCATTCCCCCAGAAGCTGGAAAAAGGTGATGTCATACATTTCCCAGTCAGAATTTATAAGCCCTTAAATCAGCATCTGATGGCAGCTGAGGACGTTCATTTTCAGGCTACTGTCAATCAAAAACCTACAGATGGTTTTTTATATTATAAAAATCAACATGTGTGTTGCAACAGATTCCCTGCCTACAGATTTATTACAAAGTGGTGAGTTGAACTGCTCCCCAAATCTTTCCTATGCATTGTCATGGAATAGTGACAGTATAAGCTATTCTGTGGGGAGTTTGCACGTTCTCCCTGTGTCTCTGGGTGCTCCGGCTTCCTCCCACAGTTCAAAGACATGCAGTTTAGGTTGATTGGTGACTCATAATTTACTCCCCATAGGAGTGTGTGTGGTTGTCTGTCTCTCAGTGTCAGCTCTGTAATAGACTGGTGACCTGTCCAGGGTGTACCTCCCACCTCTCACCCAAAGTCAGCTGGGACTGGCTCCAGCTCCCCTGCCTGTGAGCCTCTTTAGGATGAATCAGTATAGATAATAGATGGATGGACATTGTTAAAAGACAGAGTTGATTTGTGAAACTAAAACTTTCTTTAAAATGTACAGTAGGGCTTTGATGGCTTATGACTCAGGCAATTAGATTTGTAGAGTACTACTCTAATAGGCTATTATGGATCTTTTCTAATTAGATATATGGCATGATGATACATGAGGGGGTATTACAGGGATGCAGTAATTATAATTACACAAACATGAACGTTAGTTAGTCCAAGACCCCCTCCAGTCCTAATAAACAATTGCAGCCAGTAGAAAATGAATACTTCTTTAGCATCTGGCAAGCTATGCTCAGTTTCAGTCAACAGCCTTGGGTTTATTTGGAAAACATGATGATGATTTTGACCATTTTCAAACTGCAGCTTTGCTTCGGTTTATTCGTTTGCAGTAAAACATACTAGAGCCAACTGCAACAACATGTGCACTGCATACATACCCTTCCTTGTGTGCTTAATAAATTAAAAACTACACAATCACCAGTTCTTGGGTTGGCCAACGCTGTAGATGCAACTACACATGTACCTGCTGGCCATACCGTAATCGTTTAGGCAATGCTGGACTCACCTAAGCACTTGCTAAATATCTTGTTATAACGAGATATTTTTGTCATTTTATGCGGTTCATTCATGTTAAAACAACATGTTATTACAGCATAGTGCATTTTCTCCTTATAACGGGGGTGACTGTGGTTCAGTGGATAGAGCAATTGTTTCCCAACTGGAGAGTCGGCAGTTCGAATCTCAGTGCCTACAGTCCATGTGTTGAAGTGTCTTTTGGCAAGACACTGAACCCCCAAGTTCAGAGCCATCAGTTTAGTTGGCACCGCAGATGGCTGCCTCGGTTCTGTACTGGAAACAAATTCCTTGTGTGTAACATACCTGGCCAAATAAAGTGATTATTATTATAAAGATAAAGGCTATACTACACTCACTTTGAGCAGTATGTATTAATTATCATGGCTCATAAGCATGTGATGTCTTGTGTGCCCATGTGTAAAATAATTGAATGTGGATTTCAATGATTCTCAGTGACTGCACAGTGTTCTTTTCTTTGAAGGCCTCATTTCATTTTCTGAAAATAGCAGAATGATGTGCTCGACCAAAAAGCTCTATTATAGTCTCATCTGTCCACAGGACATTCTCCCAGAAGGACTGTGGCTTCCTCAGGTAAGTTCTGGCAAACTCCAATCTGGCTGTTTTATGTTCCTGTGTCAGCAGTGGGTCTCCCTGGGTCTCCTACCACAGCATCCCTTGTCATTCAGATACAACGGACAGTGTGAGCTGACACTGTTGCACCCCGTGCCTGTAGGTCAGCTTGAATTTGTTTGGAAGTTGATTGAGGTTCTTTATCCACCATTGGAACAATCCTTCTTTGCAACCCGTCATCTATTTTTCTCTTTTGTCCACATCCAGGGAGATTAGCTACAGCACCACAGGCTGTAAACTTTTTAACAACGTTGTGCACAGTGGACACAGGAACAGATCTCTGGAGTTGGACTTGTAGCCTTGATATTGTCCACGTTTTTCCACTTTTGTGGTTCTTAAATCCTCAGACAATTCTGTGCTCTTCTTTCTTTTCTCCGTGCTCCGACACGACACAAAGGTTGAGTCAACTCTTCTCCATTTTAACTGGTTGTCAGTGTGATTTCTATATCACCAGCACCAGTTGGCTGCTACGGGTGAATTTCGTTACAAGCTAAAGGAGCATCACATGCTTCAAATATAACTGTTTCTGATGATTTTGAAAAGGTCCAGTCCAGTTTTTGGAGTTCTGCATGGACTATATCAGATTTGGCTTTTTTTGTGTTGTTTCAATGCAAAGAAAAAAAA